GCAGTCAGCTGAAGTAGCCTGCAGTGCTGCATTTAACCACTGTGCCACCTCGGCTCTTACTAAACCTGCCACCTACTACTACTACCACCAGATCCATTTTTAGAAGATAGCCAACATTAGCACAAACACATGCACACACAAAACAAAACCAACAAGGTTTTATTGTATCTTACTATTGTTGCATATATTGACTCCCAACTTAGGAAAACAAGAAATGTCCTAGCTTGACAGTTTACCGTAAACACAATTTACCATTAGGGTTAAACTGAAAGCTAACAGGAAGAACAATATAAGTATTTATGAATTTTGCTGAAAATGGACTTGAACCCGGGACTTCCTACTACGTCACTGGTTCACAACTGTTAAAATGATTATATTAGCTGTTAATACTCTCTAGCTCATAAAAGAAGTACAGTAAAACTCTGGGCATAGCGATTTGGAAATGTCTTGTTGATTAGTGTGTTGGCATTTGTACGTTGCTAAGAATGATAATTTACTAGTTGCTAAAATGCACATATTACTATGTTTCTTTATCAATGTTATACTCAATTTTGTGTTTTCCTGGTTTTCTTTTTTTTTGCAAGAAGCATTTAAAGAATGTGCATTTGGTCAGACTGTTTATACTAAAAATGTAAGATGTATTTTTTTCCTGCATTACTCTGACAGCAGAAGCAGGAATGGGAACCTTTAGGCCCGGCTAAGGTTAATTCTAATCGATTATTCAAGCATCACACTAAGCTTAGGTTGGCTGAAACTACAAAATGGCTATATTCACTCTTCAGACTACACTCAAACGTGGTTTATTTGGTTTTCATTAAGCATACCAAATAAATGTAGCCACTAACCTTTAGAAACTATGGACATGACAGACTCATTCCAGACTTAACATCTAACACCTAATGTTTCCTTGTTTGCCTGCTCTTCTTCAGTCTGCTACTAGGGTAAAACCTTTGCTTACTTTGAGCCCTAGTTGTACGCTTGATTTAATTATTTCAGCCCTTACTGATTTTTAGCACTTGAAGATTCTCCTCCCCCACAACACACACACA